AATAAACATTTGATTTATGGTCACATTAAGGATATTGGTACATGTACTTAAGAACAGGGGTTGCAACTGGATATAAATAAACGGTCAGTAGAAAAAGCCACTCAATTGAGATTTTATCATGTAACACCTATGAATAAGAACAAGGAAGCAGTGATTTCAAAACAAAAGAATTTAACTCAAGATAAATGATTAATATACAGTCATTTGTGTATCTTATGTTTGTAATGTTTTTTGCATAGGTGAGTGACTGGTTTAGATTAGTTTACAGTAATGGTGATAGAAATGAAATTTAAAAAATAAGAACATTAACTTCTATTAGATTGAAAAACAATGGAAATTTATAACAGTATTATAAGGTTATTATAAGATCATATGGACTTTTATTTAACTTGAGCAAATTTTGAATGGCCATTTTCAAACAAGACATGCAATCACCAAAAGAATCCTGCTTACAAAAGAGAAGATTTATTTTTGAAAAATATATTATTTTGCCATATTTCTAATATTATTTCAAAATTACTTTGTAATAATAAAAGTTTTTTTATTATAACATGTATAAACATATAAATCCAAATAAATCACTTCATTGTAAATAACATAGTGTCAATACATAACAATTTACTTTAAAGTGTGATCAACTCTGATATTTGCGTTCTGTGTATCTTGTGTCTGTCTCTTATCTTATTCATAAATTTATTCTTTAGAGTTTAAATGAATGGGAGCTGTGTGATAAGTTAGATTCAAGATGTCTTCATTAAGCTCTAAAACCTCAGGTAAGTTCATTTAGCTCAATAATTGTCAATAAGTATTCTGGTCATTTGATGAGAACATAAATAAAAAATTTAATAAATAATACTAACATTCAACTTTTGATTATTTATTTTGACCAACTTTAAGCATTGCCATTGATAAATATTGTAAAAAAGCAGAAAATAGCTTCATATGCAAATAACTGAAACTGGAGAAATAAAAAAAAATTGTATATAGTATAAATGAAAGTTTTTTTCTCTTTTGCAAAAAATGATCTAATACCAAAATAAGTAAATGAAAACAAAATATGAATCAACTTATCAAGGGTCAAGTGTGTAAATTCATTCATTTAAATTTACATTATCTGCAAATTCGAGTACAAATTGAAAGACAAAGAAAATTACACAAAACTTGGCTATTAATTTTGAAGGCGTCATCTTTGGTTATTTTTTTCTGTACAAGTTGGTATCTCCAAAACTACTGTTGGGAAAAGGTTGAAACTTTAGACATTGTTTACTTTGATTAATTAACATCATGGGCACAGGTCCTCGGCTTACCTTTTTTTCAGAGTTATGCCCCTTTCCTTACTGTCAAGCACAATGGTCTTCTTTTATTGTGGAACCACATTAAAGGCCGTTTATTTATACTTTCTTTACATAACACATTCATTTTACATTTTAAAACAATGCACTGAGAATAGTCAAGTGTGCTGTCTAAGGACGAATTTCTGTTGATATTTTTGTGATTTGTTTCATTATTTTGATATTAATTGGCAGGCAAGAGAATGAGTGGTCAGAGAGCCTCATCATTTCAGCTGAAGTCTGGGGATAAACTTATTAAGGTATGTTTTCTTTGTCATTTTTTATTTTGGTTTGTTATAACTAACCTATACTGATACTGTTATAGTTATCTTCAAATTGTTCAACGCTTTTTATCATTTGCTCACCAGGCCATCAAAAATACATTGTGTACATAATATTTTACTTTGTTGGGAAATCATGCTTGTTTGTATCTGTTATGTTATTGTCCTGAATAAGTGGTTAAAGCAGCATGCCTCCAGCTAATTGTCATGATTTTTGTAAAATGTTTTAAAAGTAAAATATTGTAAAGTGGACATCCATTTACACATTGCAAAAGGCACTTTAAATCCACATAGGTTGGCAAAAAGAGTTCAAAATATGCAAAAATAGCCTATACAGTGCATTAGTCCTGCAGTAGAAATATGAAATAAATACATGTAATGCAAAATTTGACATTAATCACACATAACATGTAAAATATTTTTAAAGCTTGAATCATTAACTTTTTCTTTAAATCCTAGTCTTAAGTTTTTGGCTCATCTAGAGGCATGCAGCTTTAACTTGTGTAAACAAAGCTATATATACATTCACAATATTGAATATATTTCAGGATGCTAAACCAAAGCAAAAATTCAAGACAAAAGGAGCAGCATTGGTGGTGTAAGTTTAGTTCTTCAAATATTGCTGGCTATAATAGCAGACTAATGCCATCAACATGAGCTAGACCAGCCTGTACTCTAGTGCAGTCTAATCTGGTTATGTTGTGTTGGCCAATCTCTACTTTAGTGCATTCTGATCTGGTTATGTTGTGTTGGCCAATCTCTACTTTAGTGCAGTCTGACCTGGCTATGTTGTGTCGGCCAATCTATACTCTAGTGAAGTCTGACCTGGCTATGTTGTGTTGGCCAATCTGTACTCTAGTGTAGTCTGACTTGGCTATGTTGTGTTGGTCAGTCTGTACTCTTGTGCAATCTATCCTGGCTATGTTGTGTTGGTCAGTCTGTACTCTAGTGCAGTCTATCCTGGCTATGTGTGTTGGTCAGTCTGTACTCTAGTGCAGTCTATCCTGACTATGTTGTGTTGGCCAGTCTGTACTCTAGTGCAGTCTATCCTGGCTATGTTGTGTTGGTCAGTCTGTACTCTAGTGCAGTCTATCCTGGCTATGTTGTGTTGGTCAGTCTGTACTCTAGTGCAGTCTATCCTGACTATGTTGTGTTGGCCAGTCTGTACTCTAGTGCAGTCTATCCTGACTATGTTGTGTTGGCCAGTCTGTACTCTAGTGCAGTCTATCCTGGCTATGTTGTGTTAGTCAGTCTGTACTCTAGTGCAGTCTATCCTGACTATGTTGTGTTGGCCAGTCTGTACTCTAGTGCAGTCTATCCTGGCTATGTTGTGTTGGTCAGTCTATACTCTGGTGAAGTCTGACCTGGCTATGTTGTGTTGGCCAGTCTATATTGTAGCGTAGTCTGACCTGGCTATGTTGTGTTGGCCAGTCTATAATTTAGTGTAGTCTTACCTGGCTATGTTGTGTTGGCCAATCTCTACTCTATCTTAATGTTTTCATGAAATTGATTATTATTAAATGGTTCAGTGCATTTTTATTGGTTAATGCCGACCTAATAAATAAGAAAGGTATTTTTTACCGGCCGTAATTAAACATGCAATATGCAACAACATAGATATATACCAAAGGAGTCTGATACACTCATGTACAGAGTAAATAACCTTTCAAATTTTTAATCACAACTATTTTTTCTTAAATTGCTTGTGCAGGTTACTTACAATATACATTTTTTGTATATGAACATATCTAAGACTGAGAGTGTAGGACCCCTTTGGTAATATACATGTGTAAATATATCACTAATATGAATCCTATTATTTTATATTAACAGGGGTGAGAAGGATAAAAATTACCGCAGTAATGTTAAGAAAGGTATGATGAAAAAAATGTTTTCTGTATAACTCTAAACATTCAACATTTTTTCTATCCAGTCATAAATAATATAGATTACAAAAACAAGTGTTGGCGCATGCAAGGAAATAAACTCATTTTGGATAAAGCAAAGGAAAATGATTACAGATTACAAAAATTACCTGATTAAAATTTTTATTAATTGTAAGATGAAAATATACTGTAAAACAAGCATACCTAAAAAAAAATCTATATAATAAATTTGCTTTCAGAATTTCTCAATTAGATGTTACTTGACCCTGTCGTGTCTCAACACTTCATCTTAATTGTTACCAGGAATAAATCATCAAGTGCATAAATTTTTTATCAAAGCTCATTATGTGGTGTAAAATTTTGATGTTTGACTCCCACTATTTACAGCTAGATAATTATGTTAACATAAATATTCTGATTTTTTTAGAAAAGCCAAAATATTCCCAAGATGCAACGCGCAAGTTTAACGAGATGCTACACGGTGATTTGAAAGATTTACCTCCCTTGCCTAAAACTATGGTCAAGATTTTTCTCAGCTCAACATTTTCAGGTAAGGTTAGAACCAAATTTTAGGACGTCTAGCACCAGCTTCCTTATTCTGTTAATGATTTTTATCAATTTATCAAGTTACACTTGGAGGTGAGCTATATCAGCCTCAAATCCATGGTCATAATTTTGCTAAGCTCTCCATTTGCCAGCTAGCTATAGACAAAGTTTCTCAATGTTGTTTGAATAGCTACTTCACATGAAAGAATTCAATTCTAGGCTGCATAATAAATTTAGTACTGAAATGACAATGCTATTTGTCAGTTATATGGTTACATTGTTCTTCACTAACAGATATGCGTGCAGAGAGGAACACATTGGTACGTGAGGCGTATCCCCACCTGCGTGATTACTGCGCTTCGGTTGGCCTTGACTTTCAGGTTGTGGACATGAGATGGGGTGTTACGGAGGACAGCATCAATGATCACTCTGTAGAGAAGCTGTGTTTACTTGAAGTAGCGAATTGTCAAAAAACATCAGTCGGGCCAAACTTTGTGGTATATTCCAAACCTTTACTGATATTTAAAATACAGATTTCTTATCAGTGTTCAATAAAATATAAACAGCTTGTTGAAAAGTATAATTATGCAAACAACTGTAAATGTTTCTATATTTCTGCTGTAAGTAAGATTTGCATTGATTTTTTTTGTAATTTTATTCACAAATATTCAACTTATTTTTATGAATGAAGCTTCACTTTGTAGAAAATTGATGCAGAAATGCTATTAACTGGTTTGTTTTTGTTGCAGTTTTGATGTATGTTACTCCTTTTTATTATTTAACAAAAACATCCATCTAGCTTTTGCACAGCTGCTTGTTTCTTTGAGATTCTGATTTAGGTATGAACTAAGACATAGAGGCAATGGAACTTGTACTCTGTTAATTTCAATTTAAAAAATATGTAGTCTGCATGAGTTAATTCTTTTTGTGGTAGAGTTATTCTTCTTTGAGATTTCCATTGTGAGTCTGAGGGATTTATATACATGTGTCATGATCAGGTCAGTTTGTTTTGTTTATTTGATTGGGTTTTTTATGTCACACCGACACAGTATAGGTTATATGGTGACATTCCAGCTTTACTGGTGGAGGAAGACCTCAGGTGCCCTTCAATGCATTATTTAAGGCACAAACAAGCAACTGAGTAGAACCCTCAACAATGATCAGGTCAGTCTAAGATTTGCAAATGTTACATAAACCTTTCTCTTATATGAATAAAATGTATTTGTTAAAAAACATTTTTTTCATATCATCAGGTTTTGTCTGGGGATCGTTATGGTTTCCGCCCTATACCAGTAGAATTAAATGTTAAAACATTTGAGAGGTTGAGGTATGAGGCAGCCAAGCTGAACTTGGAGAATAGACAACTTCTAGAGGAATGGTATAAACTAGATGAGAATGCTGTTCCAAATATGTACATGCTTCAGGTATTGTTATTTTATGGCAAGACAATCAAAAAGATTCTGGGCCATACTAGGTTAAAAATGGAACATGTAAAATTTTAGGATTGAAGAATAATTTTTGGATCAATAAGCCATTTTCGGTATTATTTTAATGTATGAGGCATCATTTACAATTTTGCAGCTTTTGTATAAAATGACAAACCCAATGTACCTAATTCGTGACTTTTAGATTTAATGATTGACTTTAAACATCAGTCATCATTTTGTAAGTTTGATTCCCAAAAGAAAATTACTAATGCAAGTGAGAGTGCTGTTGAGCTGGGTTACACAATGTAGGTTTTGCAATCTTTGGTACATTCTCATACCATAAATAGTAATGGGAACTCTGGATGTTCCGCCAGTAAATCTTGTCACCTCTCACCTTTAAAGTGTAAGTGTAAAAAAAATCTAATGCAAGGTGTTGAAAATTTTGTTACATTTTCCTGTTTTGTTCATCATTAAATGACTCAATATAACTACATGACCAAGAGTTATAAAATATATGAAAGACGTTTTACTTACAGTTTTCCAAGTTATAATCTTTGCGATAGGACTGATAGGTGTCTTGTTGATATGAATGATATATGCATATACATGTTAATCAATAAAAGTGTTATTAATTATAGCCAATCAGATCAAAGTATACATTTTTTGCTGATTTTTCACCTGGATGTGAGGAGCCCCGGATAAAGGACACTGCTGATTGGTGGAATACATTTGAAGCATTACAGAACATTCTCAGGAAATCTGCCGACTCAGCATACAACGACGGGAAAATGACGGCTGAGGAAAAACATCAGTATTTCTTATCAGGTATGCTCATAACAAGACAGTGTTTCACTTTTTGGAGAAAGGGGGCTTAGCCATATGAGGGGAAAAAACTTTCAAATAAGCTGAAAGGAAAATTTTTCTACAATAATGTAGACTTTCATTTTATTTTTCACTCTTATGTTATTTTATTGCAATAAAGAATATAAGAACAATAATATTGCATGTCTGAACAGTTTTTTTAAGAATTTCAAACATAAAAAGATAAGTTAAAGAATTTTCAGTATCATAGCAGGGGCTGGGGAGAATAAAAAGAGGGGGGAATATATTACTCATAGAGGAATGCCTCCTGATTTAAATAAAAACGCTCAAAATAAAATACTTCACACTTCAAGAATATTGACACAGGCAATTAAATTTTACCCTTATAGCTTCACTACCCTAGCTTAGAATTTAAATTTAAGATATTAACACCAAATCATGTAGATCCTAAGGTATTGATACACAGTACATGTATAAATAGGAGTATATTTTGTTGTTTTTCCAGTGACAGAATGTGAGATTCAAGATGGTATACTAAAAGCACTAGATGTTGACAAACATTGTCTGGTATATAAAAGAAGATTCAAACTACTAAGTGATGCATCCCTACAACTCAAAGATATTCCAAGGTTTATAGATGTCATTAAAACAGATAAGGTAGTTATATATTGTACAGAATTAACTTAGATAATGGTATGCTACTGTAGTGAAAGTACATTGTGTTCAGTAAAAACTGCATTTAGTAGCAAGACTTTATAAATTCCATTGCAATAATGAGTAGCTAGAATCAATAAATTTAATTACAGCAATAAGTAGCAAATAAATTCCACTACAGTAATTAGCAGCAAGGTTTAATAAATTCCATTACAGCAATTAGTAGCAAGGCTTAATAAATTCCATTACAGCAATTAGTAGCAATGCTTAATAAATTCCATTCACAGAATTAATGTACCCCAAAAGGAAATGACTTGTATTTCCCCTTTTAACAATTGTCATGCAAAATGATTAGTTAACAGAGACATCATTAGATCTATATCTTCTTTTTTTCATCTCAAATTATTGGTTTATTTTTTATATCAATATTAAGAATAAAGTTTAGTAGTTTTTGTTTCTATACTAACAACAATGTTTTGTTATCATATTTATTTCAAAAGACAGACCAAGTAAGTCAGTAGTATCCTATGTCTATCTTTATGTGTGACATTACTTAGTATCACCACCCATCCATTTAGATATTTCTATATTTTACTGTCGTTCAAACCTTTCCCCACCCCACCCCCATAAACACTTCCTTTTCATTTTTTTCTATGTAGAAAATCTTTGATTTTTTTCTTGTAGAAACTTCAAATACTGTTAGAAGTAAAGTCACAGTTTATATAACCATCAATATTAAGGCTTGACATGATCTTGAAATAAATAACTCAAGGCTTTTCATAGTTTATTTTTCTTAGGTTAAATGTTACCATATAAGAATAGCATTTGTTTATTGTTAAATTATTATTGGAACTTACTAGATTGAGATGGCCATTAACTAGCTACAGTTTTGTAATAGTCAATTTTCCTGCTTTAAATTTTTCCATTAGTGTACATGTATAAGTAGTAAAAGGAATTTCAAGTCAAAATTCTAATATCAAGCAGTAAAAAATCTGGTCTGTCACTACTGATGTGCAGACTAGCCTGGTTGTCATGCTCTTTTGTCTGGTGAGACTGTACTGTTATCTACGCTAGCCTGACTGTTGAGATTGTACTGTCGCTAGGCAAACCTGACTGTCTGGTGAGACTGTACTGATATCTACCCTAGCCTGACTGTTGAGATTGTACTGTCGCTAGGCAAACCTGACTGTCTGGTGAGATTGTACTGATATCTACCCTAGCATGACTGTTGAGATTGTACTGTCGCTAGGCAAACCTGACTGTCTGGTGAGACTGTACTGATATCTACCCTAGCATGACTGTTGAGATTGTACTGTCGCTAGGCAAACCTGACTGTCTTGTGAGACTGTACTGATATCTACGCTAGCCTTACTGTTGAGATTGTACTGTCGCTAGGCAAACCTGACTGTCTGGTGAGACTGTACTGATATCTACCCTAGCCTGACTGTTGAGATTGTACTGTCGCTAGGCAAACCTGACTGTCTGGTGAGACTGTACTGATATCTATGCTAGCCTGACTGTTGAGATTGTACTGTCGCTAGGCAAACCTGACTGTCTGGTGAGACTGTACTGATATCTATGCTAGCCTGACTGTTGAGATTGTACTGTCGCTATGCAAACCTGACTGTCTGGTGAGACTGTACTGATATCTACGCTAGCCTGACTGTTTGAGATTGTACTGTCGCTAGGCAAACCTGACTGTCTGGTGAGACTGTACTGATATCTACCCTAGCATGACTGTTGAGATTGTACTGTCGCTAGGCAAACCTGACTGTCTGGTGAGACTGTACTGATATCTATGCTAGCCTGACTGTTGAGATTGTACTGTCGCTAGGCAAACCTGACTGTCTTGTGAGACTGTACTGATATCTACCCTAGCATGACTGTTGAGATTGTACTGTCGCTAGGCAAACCTGACTGTCTGGTGAGACTGTACTATTATCTACGCTAGTTAGACTGTTGAGATTGTACTGTCGCTAGGCAAACCTGACTGTCTGGTGAGACTGTACTGATATCTACGCTAGCCTTACTGTTGAGATTGTACTGTCGCTAGGCAAACCTGACTGTCTGGTGAGACTGTACTGATATCTACGCTAGCCTGACTGTTGAGATTGTACTGTCGCTAGGCAAACCTGACTGACTGGTGAGACTGTACTGATATCAACGCTAGCCTGACTGTTGAGATTGTACTGTCGCTAGGCAAACCTGACTGTCTGGTGAGACTGTACTGATATCTAACCTAGCATGACTGTTGAGATTGTACTGTCACTAGGCAAACCTGACTGTCTGGTGAGACTGTACTGATATCTAACCTAGCATGACTGTTGAGATTGTACTGTCGCTAGGCAAACCTGACTGTCTGGTGATATCAACGCTAGCCTGACTGTTGAGATTGTACTGTTGCAAGGCAAACCTGACTGTCTGGTGAGACTGTACTGATATCTAACCTAGCATGACTGTTGAGATTGTACTGTCACTAGGCAAACCTGACTGTCTGGTGAGACTGTACTGATATCTACGCTAGTCTGACTGTTGAGATTGTACTGTCGCTAGGCAAACCTGACTGTCTGGTGATATCAACGCTAGCCTGACTGTTGAGATTGTACTGTTGCAAGGCAAACCTGACTGTCTGGTGAGACTGTACTGATATCTACGCTAGTCTGACTGTTGAGATTGTACTGTCGCTAGGCAAACCTGACTGTCTGGTGATATCAACGCTAGCCTGACTGTTGAGATTGTACTGTTGCAAGGCAAACCTGACTGTCTGGTGAGACTGTACTGATATCTAACCTAGCATGACTGTTGAGATTGTACTGTCACTAGGCAAACCTGACTGTCTGATGATATCAACGCTAGCATGACTGTTGAGATTGTACTGTCACTAGGCAAACCTGACTGTCTGATGATATCAACGCTAGCATGACTGTTGAGATTGTACTGTCGCTAGGCAAACCTGACTGTCTGGTGAGACTGTACTGATATCTACGCTAGCCTTACTGTTGAGATTGTACTGTCGCTAGGCAAACCTGACTGTCTGGTGAGACTGTACTGATATCTACCCTAGCATGACTGTTGAGATTGTACTGTCACTAGGCAAACCTGACTGTCTGGTGAGACTGTACTGATATCTACACTAGCCTGAATGCTGAGATTGTACTGTCGCTAGGCAAACCTGACTGTCTGTGAGACTGTACTGATATCTACCCTAGCCTGAATGTTGAGATTGTACTGTCGCTATGCAAACCTGACTGTCTGGTGAGACTGTACTGATATCTACGCTAGCCTGACTGTTGAGATTGTACTGTCGCTAGGCAAACCTGACTGTCTGGTGAGACTGTACTGATATCTACACTAGCCTGAATGCTGAGATTGTACTGTCGCTAGGCAAACCTGACTGTCTGGTGAGACTGTACTGATATCTACGCTAGCCTGAATGCTGAGATTGTACTGTCGCTAGGCAAACCTGACTGTCTGGTGAGACTGTACTGATATCTACACTAGTCTGACTGTTGAGATTGTACTGTCGCTAGGCAAACCTGACTGTCTGGTGAGACTGTACTGATATCAACGCTAGCCTGACTGTTGAGATTGTACTGTCGCTAGGCAAACCTGACTGTCTGGTGAGACCGTACTGATATCTACGCTAGCCTGACTGTTGAGATTGTACTGTCGCTAGGCAAACCTGACTGTCTGGTGAGACTGTACTGATATCTACGCTAGCCTGACTGTTGAGATTGTACTGTCGCTAGGCAAACCTGACTGTCTGGTGAGACTGTACTGATATCTACGCTAGCCTGACTGTTGAGATTGTACTGTCGCTAGGCAAACCTGACTGTCTGGTGAGCCCGTACTGATATCTACGCTAGCCTGAATGCTGAGATTGTACTGTCGCTAGGCAAACCTGACTGTCTGGTGAAACTGTACTGATATCTACGCTAGCCTGACTGTTGAGATTGTACTGTCGCTAGGCAAACCTGACTGTCTGCTGATATCAACGCTAGCCTGACTGTTGAGACTGTACTGTTGCAAGGCAAACCTGACTGTCTGGTGAGACTGTACTGATATCTACCCTAGCCTGAATGTTGAGATTGTACTGTCGCTAGGCAAACCTGACTGTCTTGTGAGACTGTACTGATATCTACGCTAGCCTGACTGTTGAGATTGTACTGTCGCTAGGCAAACCTGACTGTCTGGTGAAACTGTACTGATATCTACGCTAGCCTGACTGTTGAGATTGTACTGTCGCTAGGCAAACCTGACTGTCTGCTGATATCAACGCTAGCCTGACTGTTGAGACTGTACTGTTGCAAGGCAAACCTGACTGTCTGGTGAGACTGTACTGATATCTACCATAGCCTGAATGTTGAGATTGTACTGTTGCTAGGCAAACCTGACTGTCTTGTGAGACTGTACTGATATCTACGCTAGCCTGACTGTTGAGATTGTACTGTCGCTAGGCAAACCTGACTGTCTGGTGAGACTGTACTGATATCTACGCTAGTCTGACTGTTGAGATTGTACTGTCGCTAGGCAAACCTGACTGTCTGGTGAGACTGTACTGATATCTACGCTAGCCTTACTGTTGAGATTGTACTGTCGCTAGGCAAACCTGACTGTCTGGTGAGACTGTACTGATATCTACGCTAGCCTGACTGTTGAGATTGTACTGTTGCTAGGCAAACCTGACTGTCTGGTGAGACTGTACTGATATCTAACCTAGCATGACTGTTGAGATTGTACTGTCACTAGGCAAACCTGACTGTCTGGTGAGACTGTACTGATATCTACGCTAGCCTTACTGTTGAGATTGTACTGTCGCTAGGCAAACCTGACTGTCTGGTGAGACTGTACTGATATCTACGCTAGCCTGACTGTTGAGATTGTACTGTCGCTAGGCAAACCTGACTGTCTGGTGAGACTGTACTGATATCTACGCTAGCCTGACTGTTGAGATTGTACTGTCGCTAGGCAAACCTGACTGTCTGGTGAGACTGTACTGATATCTACGCTAGCCTGACTGTTGAGATTGTACTGTCGCTAGGCAAACCTGACTGTCTGGTGAGACTGTACTGATATCTACGCTAGCCTGACTGTTGAGATTGTACTGTCACTAGGCAAACCTGACTGTCTGTGAGACTGTACTGATATCTAACCTAGCATGACTGTTGAGATTGTACTGTCACTAGGCAAACCTGACTGTCTGGTGAGACTGTACTGATATCTACGCTAGCCTGACTGTTGAGATTGCACTGTCGCTAGGCAAACCTGACTGTCTGGTGAGACTGTACTGATATCTACCCTAACATGACTGTTGAGATTGTACTGTCGCTAGGCAAACCCGACTGTCTGGTGAGACTGTACTGATATCTACGCTAGTCTAACTGTTGAGATTGTACTGTCACTAGGCAAACCTGACTGTCTGATGATATCAGCGCTAGCCTGACTGTTGAGACTGTACTGTCGCTAGGCAAACCTGACTGTCTGGTGAGACTGTACTGATATCTACGCTAGCCTGACTGTTGAGATTGTACTGTCGCTAGGCAAACCTGACTGTCTGATGATATCAACGCTAGCCTGACTGTTGAGACTGTACTGTCGCTAGGCAAACCTGACTGTCTGGTGAGACTGTACTGATATCTACGCTAGCCTGACTGTTGAGACTGTACTGTAGCTAGGCAAACCTGACTGTCTGGTGAGACTGTACTGATATCTACGCTAGCCTGACTGTTGAGATTGTACTGTCGCTAGGCAAACCTGACTGTTTGATGATATCAACACTAGCCTGACTGTTGAGACTGTACTGTCGCTAGGCAAACCTGACTGTCTGGTGAGACTGTACTGATATCTACGCTGGCCTGACTGTTGAGATTGTACTGTTGCTAGGCAAACCTGACTGTCTGGTGAGACTGTACTGAAATCTACGCTAGCCTGACTGTTGAGATTGTACTGTCGCTAGGCAAACCTGACTGTCTGGTGAGACTGTACTGATATCTACGCTAGCCTGAATGCTGAGATTGTACTGTCCCTAGGCAAACCTGACTGTCTGGTGAAACTGTACTGATATCTACGTTAGCCTGACTGTTGAGATTGTACTGTCACTAGGCAAACCTGACTGTCTGCTGATATCAACGCTAGCCTGACTGTTGAGACTGTACTGTCGCTAGGCAAACCTGACTGTCTGGTGAGACTGTACTGATATCTACCCTAGCCTGAATGTTGAGATTGTACTGTTGCTAGGCAAACCTGACTGTCTGGTGAGACTGTACTGATATCTACGCTAGCCTGACTGTTGAGACTGTACTGTCGCTAGGCAAACCTGACTGTCTGCTGATATCAACGCTAGCCTGAATGCTGAGATTGTACTGTCACTAGGCAAACCTGACTGTCTGGTGAGACTGTACTGATATCTACCCTAGCCTGAATGTTGAGATTGTACTGTTGCTAGGCAAACCTGACTGTCTGGTGAGACTGTACTGATATCTACGCTAGCCTGACTGTTGAGATTGTACTGTCGCTAGGCAAACCTGACTGTCTGGTGAGACTGTACTGATATCTACCCTAGCATGACTGTTGAGATTGTACTGTCGCTAGGCAAACCTGACTGTCTGGTGAGACTGTACTGATATCTACCCTAGCATGACTGTTGAGATTGTACTGTTGCTAGGCAAACCTGACTGTCTGGTGAGACTGTACTGATATCTACGCTAGCCTTACTGTTGAGATTGTACTGTCGCTAGGCAAACCTGACTGTCTTGTGAGACTGTACTGATATCAACGCTAGCCTGACTGTTGAGACTGTACTGTCGCTAGGCAAACCTGACTGTCTGGTGAGACTGTACTGATATCTACCCTAGCCTGACTGTTGAGATTGTACTGTCGCTAGGCAAACCTGACTGTCTGGTGAGACTGTACTGATATCTACGCTAGTCTGACTGTTGAGATTGTACTGTCACTAGGCAAACCTGACTGTCTGGTGAGACTGTACTGATATCTACCCTAGCATGACTATGTATTAAAGTTATAGGTCTTGTATAATCATAGTTCATTCTCTATAAGGGTTTTTGTTTCTATCCTTAGGTATTAAAGTTCATTAAGTTTGGCATATATTCCTCTTAAATTTATTTTTTTGGTGCAACATATACAAAATGTAGCTGATATTTAAGTTTGGTAGTTTCTAGTTTATGTATTTTTTGTTTGCTGTTTGTCTAGATATTGTAACCAATATAAATATAAAGAACTAGTGTTTTAAATAAAACTTTTGACTTCTTATCCCTCAAAATTTTTTGTTCCAGTTTGGCAACACCTTTACATCAGTTTTCTTGCTTATTAAGGTTTGGTGGTTTTACTCGTGTCAAGTAATAAGAAGTAATGAATTTGCAGTATTTATTACCATATTTCTAATGCATGACTAGCACAGTAAGGACCTATTTTGCATATTTTTACCACTTTTTGGTCATTTAGATGGATTGTAAGTGCCATTTGCAATAAGTATTCTTTTTGTTCACTCCACATTATTATATACTTTTAGATACTTTTTTTAAATTTTCATGAAAATAAGCATGAATCTGATTGAACGCTGCTTTTATGATACATTTATCAATCTATCATTATCAATTATATGACATCCTTTGCATTTATTATACATTGTCTTTTTCATTTATTATACAATGTCTACATCTTTTTTTCAGGGCAGCGTCATCAACAAGGAAGTTGCAAACCTTAGGGAAGACCTTTTTGAAAACAAAATTAAACCTAAACTGCAATCATGCAACATCAGAGATTACTGTATAAACTTTGTACCATCTGGTGTTTCTCCTGGGGACAATGAAGAACACTGTGAATATGTGAATAATTTCTGCTCTGATTTTGTAGCCGACTGCAAGGCTCTGATAACTAAAGCAGCTGACGAGAGCGACAATATGATTCAGATGTCCAACTATTACTCAAACTACGATGAGACAATACACCATCTGAAATTCTGCCAGTCGAAATGTGAATCATTCTGTGGGCAAGAAAAGGTATTGGTCTTTCTTTTGCTTTATCTGATATGCCCATGTTAAAGGGGGATGACCCTCCCAGGTATTTGGCTTTTATTTCAAACCCCTCTGAAATTTGATATCAAGTTATATCTTTTTTATTCGTTGAAAATCACACAAAATTTCGTCATGCCCCTGTTTCCTGCCAGCTATACATGAACAATGTATGAACAATAACTTTCTTTCTTGTATCTTTTTTGTTATTCTTTCAGATTTATACCATTTATGTTATCTTTTTTTTTAACAGAAAAAAAAACAAAGTCCCTAAACAATGCAAAGATGGCAAATAGACTTACACTGTATTCTATATTTATATTAGGGCTGGGAACGAATAAGGAATTTGATGTTCGAATATTCGTTTTCCATATTCGAATATATTCGAATATTCGTTTTTACAACATTTGTACCAATATTTCTCTATGACGTATACGTATCCGAAATTGATTGCGTCGAATACTGTACAATTTTAATATGTTTGGAATAATCGACGATTAAAAATACCTATATAACTACATAAAAGTTTTTTATTTTATATATTGTAAATCGACATAAATGTTTACTTTTGAAATAAATTCATAATTTGATTGCCTTTTGTTCAATTAATCCGACTGCTGACCATTTGTCTTCATGGTCTTATTAACGGTAGGTAACTCAAGTGACTTGATTGACAGTAATATGAATCACCGTATCTTCTTAGCCCCAAAAACACATAATTTACATTGAAACTTAACTTGAATTAAATATATTATTGATTTATAATTTTAGAAAGGTTTAAAATATTCTTCAGATACATTTAGCTATAACGCAGTAAATATCACACAGAGTCTTAGTTTCTACAGTACGAAAAAAATATATTTTGACGGAATATAGACACTGACCATGCTTACATAAAGCACCGATTAATACGTGTCCATTTTTTCGTCTTCACAAAATTTAAGACAATGACTGATTAATCGGACAGATTATTGCACAGAAAACAATAAATAAGATAATTAAAATCGGAAAATTACATTATATTCTGTTCAACAGGTAAATTGCAAACTGTGAAACGGGTGCCCTTTTGATCAACTATAGACCCCAAAGTTTTCACAGTTAATTGGCGATAATTGTTGACACGTGTCATACAAACGTGTGAACAACTGATCAAGTAAAGGTCATTGGTTTAATTTGCTATCTTAATTGAAATTTGAAAGTCATTAAAAAAAAACTCATTTTTTTTTCGAATATTCGTATTCGTTTTTCAATGTTCGAATATTCGGTAGTGTTTCGAATATTCGAATATTCGAATATAATTCCCGGCCCTAATTTATATTGTTATTCATTGAATCAGGATTTCATAAATTTTTTCTTGCAGGTTCTTGAAGCAGCTAAACAACACATCTTAGATCCATCTGGCAGAAAACCTCTCATTTTGCATGCCGAGTCTGGAGTTGGTAAAACCTCTATAATGGCAATGATAATGAAGAGTATACCTGAATGGTTGGACAATAAATCACATGTAAAAGTTATCAGATTCCTAGGAACTACGCCTCAATGCTTGAACATCTATGATGTTCTTTTCGGAGTTCTTGGACAGCTGTCTGATTGCTATGATCTGATAATGCCCCCAGTCAACTACAAAACCTGGAAGAAGCTTGTTGAGTTCACTCCAAGATACCTAAGACAAGTAGCAACTGCTGCAAAAGAACCTGTAATCGTTTTACTGGACTCAGTTGACCAACTGTCGCCTAGCAACAACGCATATTCAATGGAATGGTTGCCTACTCTTCTTCCAAAGAATTTGAAGCTTATTATCTCCACGCTGCCAGAGGAACACAAGATTCTTGCAAATCTGAAAAAGATACTTCCTGATGAGGAATGCTATGTTGAAGTTCCATTCCTCTCTGAAGAAACAGGCAAGCTAATTGTTGAAACATATTTGATGTACAAGAAGAGGACATTAACACAGCAGCAAACCAATCTCTTACTAGATGTTTTCAAACAGTCACCAAGTCCATTGTTTCTAAAGTTGCTTTTAGATGAAGCAAGGCAATGGAGCTCTTTCACACCAACAGGAGATTTAAAGTTGGCACCAACAGTGAAAATAGCAATAAAAAAGCTGTTTTCAAATCTTGAGAACAAGTTTGGCCAAGAACTTGTGAGTCATGCACTTGGCTATATCACTGTTGGATTATCAGGACTGACAGAGTTTGAGATAGAAGACGTTCTGTCATGTGATGATGAAGTTTTGAATGCAGTTTATAAATACCATGACCCACCAGTTGATGGCATTGTTAGAATACCGCCGGTCCTTTGGGCAAGAATACGTTATGACATCCGTGAATATCTTGTTGAGAAAATGTCACAGGGTAAAAGTACATTGTATTGGTACCACCGGCAATTTATTGAGACTGCCAAACAAATGTACACAGATAACGGAAAAGAGGCGGAACTGCACAAAAACCTTGTGTCAATTTACCTCTATGAGAATGGTTTCAAGCGAACTATCAAGTTAGTACATCGGAAGAATCTTGTTATGGTGGATGCCGACAGACAGATAACACCACAACCATTTATATGTTCTAACAAACGCAAGTTAGCTTGCTTACCTTATCATGCTTTGCGGGCGGGGAAGGTTTTGAACAAAGAAATTGCATTGAGAAGCATCTTCTGCAATTTCAAATTTCTTTGTACCAAAATTTCTGCTTATTCCGTTTCCAGTTTGAATTCGGACCTTACGGAGTTTGTTGATGAAACAGATGATCCTGAGGTCAAGCTATTGCTAGATTTTCTGTCTGTAAGCAAGGATGACTTGACAATTCCTCTTCGATTTGCAGTTTGCATACTTGCATATATTAATCCCGAAAATGGCCACAAGTATTTGGAGGGACTAAGAGAAGAAGCAAGGGCCTATATAAAATCAAAAACAAAGCCAATACTTGTGCCAGATTTTCCATGTTTGGCACCAAGACAAGATGCTTCAAGTGCCTTTCAGACATCATTGCAAGGGTTCTCGGACATATTGGCTCAATCTTCTTCTAGCATTTTACTTGCTAAACCCGATGAGACAGACGAAAATGATGATAAAAAGAAAGAAGAGAGTGTAAAGTTCAAATACTCTGTATTGAGTACAGACACTCAAGAGCTGACACATGTTTCCATTAAAGAGAAACGATCAACGCAGTTTGTATTGAATGATTCACGTATTTTCTATGGCTCGAAATCTGCAGTTGTCAGTCATAATATTGCTGATAATAAACAGGACAGCATTCCGTTGACAGAGTTGATTCCAAATTGGAAGAATACAGAAACAGTTCAGAATTTGTTTACAAATGCTGACAAGTCAATTGCATGTTTGACATTTAAGACCTCTCTTGTTCTTGTCGATCTTGAAAGTTTAAAGTATGTACAGAAATATTGTGTGAAGGAAAAACCAGTTATTATAGAACAAGTGTTGATATTGAACAATGGTGCACAGATTATTGCTATGGGGAGTGTCCTTAATTCTTCTCCCAGTGATGAACCACAAGGGCCTACAAATCAATGTTTCATATCTGTCTTTGAGCAAGACAAGGAGGAAAGTGTAAAGTTCGTAGAGATTGAGCAGAGTTTACTCTACGATCAAGCAACTACGATCTGCAATGATACTAAGTTGGTTGTTCCAGTTAAAACAGAGGAACTTAATGATGTACAGACACAGAATGATGATAGTTTTCAGACACAATGCAAAGGCCAGATACTTGCTTTCAATTTGGACAACGAAATGGTTCCAAACGTTATCAACATACCACATCCTGTCACCAAGCTTGTTGGACATCCAGGTAAATCGCAGTTGGTTGCTCTTACATCTAATGGTAAAGTATTTACCATTAACCTTTCAGAGAAAGCAAATGAATCGGACGTGCTAACACTTGTTCTCGACGTCCCTGTGAGTGATGCCTTGGTAGATTGGGATCGAAATACAGCGTTCTTGTGTTCATGTGGAAAGTTCATAGTTTATAGACTATCAACTGACACAACTATTGGTGTTATTGCTGCACATGCGATGAGAATTTTGAAGATACTGCCTTTAGACCAGCAATTTATTACACTTAGTGTCAACAGAGAAATAAAAGTCTGGTCTATACAGACTATTGAAAAGCATCTCTCACAGAAAGAATTGTGTTTACAATTGGACATAGCAGAAACATTATTGGAACAGATGAACGTCACGGCTTTACATCCCACAAGCGATGGAAGCAAATTGATCACGTGCCACGACAATGGAAATGTCAAACTTTGGGCAATTGATACACGGATGTTCTTGCAAAAATATAACATAGACATATCAGCAAACTTGATGCACGTTGTTATTGACAATATTGTGGTTTTCCACGATACAGAAAAGAGGAAGATGAAAATTTTGAATATTGATTCTGGAATGGAGGCAATCTCTCTACCTGACTCAATACAAAATATTATTCATTCAACTGTAAGCAAAGCAAAAGATCATCTCTATATTGTCAGTGAGCCAAAGAAAGGGAAGGAACAGATAGATATTGTAAATATCAAATTGAAAAAGGTTTCAAAAACAATTCACTTACAAAGTGGGTTGATACACGAAGATATCGAACTTTGTTTGTCAGCCAACGAACGGCATGTTGTGTTGAAACACAAAATACCAGAGAAAGAGTTTGAACGGATAAAAGCTATGTGGAAAACTGGGGGATTTGGTGAGCAGAATCACCGCTACAGATTTACAGCTGTAGATTTATCACAAGGAAATGGTGTCTTAATTCCATGTTTCCGTCAACAGTCGAAAATACCCACACTTGGTGTTTATGTACAGCCATACAAAGGGAACGTCATGTTGATATCTTCAAGAAGGTAATGCTTAGTTGCGTCTTTAATTGTTTTAGTGTATAACTTTTGTCTGTTTAATACTTGCATATGCCAATATAAATGTTTCGACAATTAAGTTATTCCACTATGTATGTAGTTAACTGTTGTTTTCTCAGACGGATATTATTTTAGTGTATAATTTTTGTGGGGGTAAAAAAAATCATATTTGAAAAATGTAAAAATTTTTTTTTTCCCGGGGGATACTGGGGTTTTTGGGGCGTTTCCCCCTGGGAAAAGTTTAAACAAAAGCCAAACAAAAAGGGCTCCAAAAGGACGGCATGTTTTTTTTCGCCCCGGGATGGCTTGGGGCAAGAAATTTCGGGTTTTGCAAAGCAACACCCCTTTTATTTCCAAAAAGGGGGCCCCTTTTAAAAAGGTTAAATTTGGCCCGTTGGTTTCTGAAGATGGTTTTCGGGTTTTGTTAAATAAATTTTATCTTGGTCTAACCCCGTTTTTCCAAAAACGAAAAAACCATCCCAAAACGAAAATAACGCTGAGGTAAAAAGAAATAAACAAACCCTTTAAAAATTATTTTTTTATTTTTGGCCCCTGCTTTTTTTTAAAGGTAAAAAAACAAAGTTTCCTTTACAATCTTTTTGCGGCTTTTTTTATTTTATTTGCTCCCTTTGTTTTAAAAATTTTTATGAAAAGTTTTTAAATTTTTTGGTGGTTTTTATAATTGGGGTTACAGGGGGAACAAAAAATTTCCTACCTTGTCAACCGGAACCCGTAAAATTGGGGGAAAAAATTTTCTTGTTTGAAGCAGCGGGGTTGGAAAAGGTATGGGGTGCCATACCTTTGGGGAGGAGCAGTTTTTAACCAAAGGCCCGGAAAAGCAGAAGTTTTAGGGCAATTGGGGGTCAACCCCAAAAAAAATTTTTCCCCAGGGTTTTTGCCCGTTTAACCGGCATTCAATACAAAATTTGGGAAAATTTAAGGGAAAAAAAGGAAAAATGAGTTTTTAAAAAAGTTTGGGAGAAAATAGATAGTAAATTTTAAACAAATTAAATTTAAATTTTTTAAATTTTTCTAAAACACAATTTTTTGGAAAAACAATGAAAATGGGTTTTTTTGTTTTTGTTGTTTTTCTTTTTTTAAAACTGCATTTACGCCTTGTCCCATTTATCTTTCCTGTTTTCATGTGCTCCAGATCATCTCTGTGTTGGTTAAACACTGTTTTGGTTTGCTTTTGTTGTGCTATGTATGATTTGTTTCTACACACAATTGTATATTTTTGTATTTGTGTTAATACTAATGTGCATTTTTTTGTTTATGCTACAGTATATGAATATATACATAAATTAATTTGTAATTTTGAATTTTACAAATTTGTTGTTTCTATACTGTTTTATGTGATTTGTCCCAAGAGGCGGCTTAAAGTTTTTTAATTTTTCGTCCGTCTGTCTGTAAGCTTTATGTTAGGGCCATAACTTTGTTATACATTGGTTGATTTTTAAATAATTTTGTAGGACATGTGTGTCGAATGTTTGTTAGTCAAAGATCAAGGTCAGATTTAGACCTTATTCCTGCCGTGTCATTGATGGATTTTAAAATTACTCTTTGATGATAAGTTGGACATGATGACGACCTGTCGTAGACAATAATCAGGTCTCTAGCTTTAAAGTCAGGATTACATGTTTAATATTTTTACATACTGAGAATATAAGTATTTGATCATGTTTTTTTTATTCTTGTAACACACCTTATAAAAACAGTTACCAAGCATTTTTTGTTGTTGTTGTTTTGTGGGGTTTTTTTTTGTTGTTGTTCTTTTTTGTTGTTGTTTTTATTTTTTTGGTATAGATGTTTGTTATTATGTCATAATCAATCTTCAAAAGACGGTGTTCATAAATGTTTTCTTGTAAATCTGCTGAGATTTTACACCTAAAAGGTTGTATCTTGTTCTTATAGAAATATATGTTAGGTTTTCTAGTGATATTTACATCAGGTATGGAGCACTATACATGACTGATACTATACATGACTGATACTATACATGTCTGATACTATACATGACTGATACTATACATGACTGATACTATACATGTCTGATACTATACATGTCTGATACTATACATGACTGATACTATACATGACCGATACTATACATGACCGATACTATACATGACTGATACTATACATGACCGATACTATACATGACTGATACTATACATGACTGATACTATACATGTCTGATACTATACATGACCGATACTATACATGACCGATACTATACATGACCGATACTATACATGTCCGATACTATACATGACTGATACTATACATGACCGATACTATACATGACCGATACTATACATGACCGATACTATACATGACTGATACTATACATGACTGATACTATACATGACTGATACTATACATGACTGATACTATACATGACTGATACTATACATGACTGATACTATACATGACCGATACTATACATGACTGATACTATACATGACTGATACTATACATGACTGATACTATACATGTCTGATACTATACATGACTGATACTATACATGTCTGATACTATACATGACTGATACTATACATGTCTGATACTATACATGACTGATACTATACATGACCGATACTATACATGACCGATACTATACATGTCCGATACTATACATGACCGATACTATACATGACTGATACTATACATGACCGATACTATACATGTCTGATACTATACATGACTGATACTATACATGTCTGATACTATACATGACCGATACTATACATGACTGATACTATACATGACCGATACTATACATGACCGATACTATACATGACCGATACTATACATGACTGATACTATACATGACTGATACTATACATGACCGATACTATACATGACCGATACTATACATGATCGATACTATACATGACCGATACTATACATGTCTGATACTATACATGACCGATACTATACATGACCGATACTATACATGACCGATACTATACATGACCGATACTATACATGACTGATACTATACATGACCGATACTATACATGACCGATACTATACATGTCTGATACTATACATGACTGATACTATACATGACTGATACTATACATGACTGATACTATACATGACTGATACTATACATGACTGATACTATACATGACTGATACTATACATGACTGATACTATACATGTCTGATACTATACATGACTGATACTATACATGACTGATACTATACATGTCTGATACTATACATGACTGATACTATACATGACTGATACTATACATGACTGATACTATACATGACTGATACTATACATGACTGATACTATACATGACTGATACTATACATGACTGATACTATACATGTCTGATACTATACATGACTGATACTATACATGTCTGATACTATACATGACTGATACTATACATGACCGATACTATACATGACTGATACTATACATGTCTTTATTGTATTATATCAGAATAAATGCTCAATTTATAATATATATTGAAAGAGAACCTTAAAAATAACATAAAAAAGGAACTGAATGTACAAATTCAGAACAAATTGTTTTTTTAATTGATACCATATCAATAAGTTGATACCGTTATAATTAGCACTCCCATGTTTATATTATTATCATCAAATCATTTCTTTATTTTGCAATTCATTTAATACCTCTGTAGTTTAACATTACACGTGTCTTTTGATACAGATATTATGGTCATTTGGTAACTATGGTGATTATGACTACATATTTCACTTGTCTATGATTTACTACTCATGTATGAGACGCGTCACGACAAAACCAACATAATGGGTTTGCGACCATCATGGATCCAGACCAGCCTGCGCATCTGTACAGTCTGATAAGGATCCATGCTGTTCACTATCAGTTTCTCTACTTGTAAAAGAGTTGGTAAGCGAACAGCATGGATCCTGATCAGACTGCGCGGTTGCGCAGGCTGGTCTGGATCCATGCTGGTCGCAAACGCATTACGTTGGTTTTGTCAGGGCGCGGCTCATTTATTGTTGTATATAAACTTACTGTAAGACCAGTAACACGTTGGAAGCATTTTTATTTATGAAAAAAGAAGTATTTTTGTAAATATATACATGTATATTATTTATGTCAATGACTAGATAGGCTTTATATTGTTGGATAATTTTACAAGATTTTTACACAAGTTATAAAGATTTATTAGTTTTTACACCATTGTATGATTTATAGATAGATACACATATATATAATTTGTTATTGTTTTACTATTCTGCACACACTGATCTCACTGTTATTAATTAAAACATTTCTTACTTTTTTTTCTTATCTAAGTACAAACATATCAGTATAAAAGGGTCAGTTAAAATGCATTTAGATGAATTAACATTTTTATTATGAAAACATAATTATATAATATATGATGATGATAAAAGTTGATTTATTGATTGATCGATTTATTGATTGATCGATTGATCGATCGATTGATTGATTACCATCATTGTTGAGATAAGGATAATATTTTTTTTTATCAATATGTCAATCAAAGTTACGGTAATTGATTTATGATGGTGATAACTGTGGTGATAATTATGGTGAGGATACAGAAGATTGTTGCTATTGATAGTGATGATTATCATGATAACGATGGTGATGATAATAATAGTGATGATGATGATGATGATGATGATGCAAGAAGTGTTAATCCGTAGTTATTTCCAATTAAGAATAATACATATCACTTCTAATTAAAAAAAAATGTTATTTATTAAATTATTATGATGTTTGCCACGTTAATGTCCGCATGATAAAATTATTGGTAATTTTTTTTGAAAATGTTCCAGTTATTCTATAGCCGGATATTCGTTATTTATATGTGCTGGGCAATTTTGTGGTCAAACAGGCATTTATGTATTAAGTTTATGTATTAAGATTTATGTATTAAAGGTCACTTAATAATATATTAAAATTTTGTTACTTTGATAGTATAAGTTATTATTAATAAATCAGATA